ATAATTTTCTTCTGTATTTTAATAAGATTGAATGAAGTGGTATTACTAGTTGTCTTCTCTTCTTATGCTTCTTTCTAATTTTATTTCTTTATCCGCATATTTTTTTTCCTGCTTGATTAATCTTGTTTTGTTTGCATTTTCTGCATGGTTCAGTGGTGTCATCTCTGCGATCTCCTCCGAAACCTGGCTACGGCCTTCGGTCATGCACATTGCCAACTTCTGGTCGAAATGGTGGATATATGGGCTATCCAATGGGCCCTGATCAGGTTTGTCTTCAGAAAGTATAAGTGTAGATTGGCAGTTAATTCAAGCAACATTTACTCTCAATATCACCCTAACAACTTCTTTTAACCCAAAAGTACTATTAACATTGTCGGCTTTTTCATACACACAGTATCTTTATGAAAGAGCAAGAGGGTGACTTACATTTTGGGTAGCGTACAAGTTACATAGTTTGAAACAATCGCATGGGAAATGTAGGTGGTGCCCAAATAGACATGGGTTGTGGTAGCTGTTACATTGGGGATTGTTTTGCTTTAGTGGTGTCTGCACTGAGGCATGTCCCCAAGCCAGGTTATGGCTTGGCACCCCGTTCTCACACATTCAGTTCTACTGGTGGGAGTGTGTCCGGTATAGCGGTGAGTTGCAAACAAGGCATTTCTAGATTCTGTATGATGTGCAATAGATTTGTACCACGCAGGTCATACATTCATAATTTTGTGCTCTTATTTCAATACCTTTGGTTAATACCATTTAAACTATGGGATGAGGTCAAAATTTTTATTGTAAATTACATCAAGATCTGTTGACTACTTGAATCTAATTTTTTAAAAGAAATTTGTTTTAATTGTTTTAGGGTGACTACTCTTTTAGTGGTCTTGGAGAGAAGACACACAGCACTGAATTTAGCTGCGGAAAATCGGATAGTGAGTAGTACTTTTTATCTATCTACTTGGTTGTGAGAATAAAACGACTACTCCAAATTGTTGTTTTCAGTTTCAGTTGGTTCTATCTCCGAGGTCGATCATCGAGCTTTAGTAAGAGTCAACATATTTTAATCAGTTTGCAAAAAAGTGTTGTGACTTTTAACAGATTTGTAAACAAAACATTGCTTTTCACAGAATGCTGAACTTCCTGTATCTACTACATATACTGGAGGCTTAGGCGCCCTGAGGTCAGCTTCATATTCTCCTCACTTGCGACGTTCATTGCCTAACATGGCCCAATCAAATTCTTCAGAACCTCCAAAGATTTACCCATACCATCTACTTGTAATTACAAATTATCGTCTACCAGCTGATGTTGATCGATGCAACTTAGAGGTGAATTGATGTCCAATAGTATTTGTACAGAAAGATCTGGTGCATCATTCTTATTAATTTCTTGTCTGTTGCAGCGCCATCTCTCAGATGCTGAATTTGAAGGACTATTTGGATGCAATAGAGTGGAATTTTACCGACTTCCCCAGTGGAAACGCAATGAATTAAAAAGGAGGGTTCGGCTTTTTTAATCTAATAATTACAGTTTTGTGTCTGATCTAAAGCTTTATGCACCGCATTCTAAATTGGAAGTGTTCATCAATATGTTTTAGATGTAAGTTTGTGGCGATATGAAAACCTAGTCGTTGACAAATGCACTGCCTCTCTTGGCGTTCTTCTTGATCCATTGTTTTTCTAGTTCCCTCTAACTTCAAGTCATTTTGTTTTTGCTGTGGTACTTCCCCAAAAGCATTTATTTAAGATTTTCTTAGTTAAATCTTTTGGAAGATTTCCATCATTGTGTCTAATAGCTTAGGAAATACATTTCATATTTGCATTTGATCACAGATGTGCTCCAAATAGGTGGATGGTGGAAAGGCAACTTGACAGCTGTGTTATATATACTCATAAGCATAGGTATCTTTTATAAATAAATGAATGGTGCCTTTAAAGGCAGCTAAGGTGCTGTCTTAGGTGAAATATGTAATTTTGTGCCAAGCAGAGATTGCTGGTATGCCCATACACTTCTGCAAACCTGTGCCTTAATGATACTGTGTATTGTTTTAGCTAAGCGGAACTCATGAAACATGTTTACTTCTCTTTTCAATATTCAGTGTATACTGTGGGTACAAATTACCCATTTAGGAAAATGTGAAATATTCTTTTAGCCCTCCAAATGCCACATTCATCACTGATTTGATTGGGGAATGATATATTGAACTACCTAATGTTCTTAAATTAATCATTAGAATGTTTTTACTTGTTTATTGGTTGATCTACCTAATCTAATTTGAACTTTTTTTTTTATTAGTGCAGAGGAGGTTGCTTTCTTTTATCTAATAGCACTCTTAGGGTAGTATGGGCGTATTTGCATTGTTCTGCTAGCATTCCACTTTTTGCTTCATAAGCGCCTTTCTGTGTTTTATTTTTACTCATAATAATGGGGTAAGGCAATCTCTTACTGGGTTATTACATCCACTTGATGATACAATCCATAGTTTAAAAATACATGCAGGCGGGGGCTGGAAACAATGGAGTTTTGCCAAGAGAAACTTTTTAAATTGTTCCTGAAAATTATGATTTTTACTTTATTTCAGTTACCATCAAGAGACCAATTGTATTTATGACAGTTCCTTATGAACATTCTTTCCACATGCCACTTGGTTTCAAATTTTTAACTCCTGTATTGACTTGTGATTTTTTTCCTAGAAATTTATTATTTAAATTGTATGCTTCAACTAGAATGAAAACCCTTTTTTCACATATATGTTATTGTTTTATATCACTCGTAATTGTAGAAGATTGAATGAATTTTTTCCCTCTGGTCATTTATGATTTTATAATACAAATTTTATCTTGTATAATCAGAAAAGGTGCTGCTCTACAAGAAATCTTAAGAAATTGTAAAATTATGAAAGCCTTGTTGACCTACTTCATACCTAGGTTTTCTTTAAACATTTTGTATCTATCGAATACAAATTATCTTTAAAAGAATCCTTACGTATATAATATCTCCCCACTATCTTCTTTCAAAAAACTTATGTTGCGTTACAGAGACAATTTTTATAAGTGGCTATCTTTGTGAACATTTGTGCTCTACGCTTTTTCACAGACGCTTTAACTCTTTGATGTACTCATGTAAACCTGGTTACTTGATGGATCTGTTCCACCAACTTATGCAAGACTTTGTCAATTCCCTCCAATCTTCAGCTGACAGTGCCTACAAGTACCTGTTTTTAAATTTCTTTTACTCTGTGAACTTACTGCCCAAATTGGTCCATAGTTTCAATGTCCTCAGTTATGCGTACTGTGTTTGTTTCTTTTTCTTTCTTGATCATTGATCAGCACACTGAACCAGAAATGTAATTGAGTCGACTCAATGTATTTGAAAGTTGTCTGTACATCATCTTACATGTTAAGTTTGTAAACAACATTTCACAATGTTTTTGTTGCAAATATGGGATTAGTTTTCAATCTCTAGGCAACAAATGTTCTCAGGCCAAAAAATTTATTTAGCCCTGCTTAGTCTTATCTGAGAGGGTTTTAATTTGTTTTGTTTTGTTTTTTATTTCTCAAAATTAGTATTTTAAGATCTTACAAGAAACCAAAAAGATGTCAAAGTGCTTTTAGATTTTAAAAAAGAACTATTTTAACTCTTAGGAATGTGATCTACAATGGTTAATATATACTTATGTGTAGACAATAGTTCTATGAAGTACAATAAAAATTAAAATCTTGCTTCACCTGCTTCACTTTTTCTCCCCCTTTTTGACTAAAATCCCCTCACTTACTCCAGTCAGCTAGCTTGAAAATTATCGCTTAGCTACTGGATGTGGATCCATCTCATTTTCACAACTTGAGCGAAAAGGGAAAAACGCTATTGAATTCAAATATTTCGCGGGTGAACGATGGGCGTACCGGCCTACCGACATGACACTTCCTGCTCGATAGTTTGGTCAATGAGCGGTAAATATCCGAATGTGTACGTCGTTCACGTGAACTTTCGTGTCGATAAAGCCTCTGATTTTTATTATTGAATTACTGTATCTATATAAAATTGTCGATAGTGTAACCTCTATTCATCTTACATTAGTGTCAAGTTTGCCGGTCCGGCAAAAGTAACAACCAAGAACCACAACCGCAAGTGCAGAAAGCAGGGAAGGGTCATCTTTCTTCTGCTGGCTACCACGAAAAAAAAAAGCAAAAAGAAAGACAGAAGGATATTTTGTTTTATTTCACTCTATTTCTTTTCTGTTACCTTCGTTATTTTTCGCCAATTTTATTGAATTTGACGCTGTGTGGGTTAAATTGCGGTTATGATTGTCTCAAAGAGAACCATTTTATTTGCTGTCTGCTAGTTTCTAACCTCTTTCTTTACTGTTGTAAATGAAAGTGATCAGGAATGAGTAAATATGAAGAACAGAAACACAATCTCAGCCTTAAACTGAAAGATATATGTAGGCCTTATCCACCTTTGGAAGAAAAGTCTTCAAAGACTTCTCAACCTATATCTGCTTTTGAATCTCATCGTAAGAAAACAAATGTGGAAGAAGCAAAGTATGTATTATTTCCAATTTATCAGTCAGTTACCATCTTAGTCAACTTGTACTTCTTTACATCTATGATATGCGTTTTGTGTCTCTGTTTTTACTTTTTAGGAAAGCCTCTCTTGCTGTTGTTGAGGAATGGGACGACGTTGCCACCATAACACCAAAACTTAATGAACCTCCTGAGTACCAAGCTAAAACTTGCACAGCTGTAGTTTCTTTCAGTGAGGCATATGATTACTTCAGAAAATCTGATTTGAGTCAGCACATGGTATGCCCTACTACTGATGACAGATTTGCAAATTGCATTGCAATTGTTTCATTGTCGTAGATTATAATTATCAATTTCGTTGAATTTCCAGAAAAATATACAACCATTTTCAGAAAGACATGGCTTGTCTGCAGTTTTCAACATGATATTTGGTCCTCCTAAATTGAAACCAAACCTTGAATATGAAAGAGATGTTGTTTTTGCTATTGCCTTATGTAAGTACCTGATGTTTTATTTCTATTTTTTTCCTTTTTCAAAATTTTCTTCCCTCCCTAGCACACAATCTTCAAGATTCAGGCTTCAAATTTAATTATAGATCATTTTCACATATTGAGCATTGGGGGGAGTGTAATATTTGAGGCTAATTTCATGTTTCAAAACCTTTTCTGGTCTTCTGTTGTAATTCAAAACTCCATCACTAACAGATTTGTTCAAAGGCAATGCCTTGGGCCATGTCAGTCTATTTTCTGTGAGTTGCATTGGTCTCTGTCGCCACTCAATCCAATATGGCGGTACTGAGAAGTTAAGAGAAAAGTAAATAAGTTAAATTGAAAAAAAATAAAAAATAGCAAGGATTTTTACTGGTATTAAATCATAGTGCTTACATTTCACTGTAGCGGTGTTGTCAAAACAGCTCTTGTCTCCTATTCGAAACTGCTTCCTGTACAAATGACTGAATGGAAATTCATCACACTCACATGGCGTCCCATCCATTCTTGTCTCTGATTTTCTGTATGGATTAATTGTAGCAAATGAATACGGTACAAACTTCTCAACAATATTCACATGTTTGTCACATTTACATAATTCATTAGCTGCTTCCATGATTGTAAAATTTCATTTATTCTTCATTTGGTTGCCGTAGTAACAAGTCTCAGAAATTCTTCATTGTTATTTGACAATCTGTGTATGATAACAAAATTGTTTTACACCAATTTTAAGTGAACCTTGTTTGTTTGTTCATTCTTAACCCTCTTTTAATTCAGGTCAGCTGGAATGGGAAACACCAATTCATGTTCAAATTCTACAAACCATTTACAAAAAGTTGACAGGGTCAAAGTTTGATTGCCCCTCAAACGGAAGTCATTGGCAAGATGTGGGCTTTCAGGTAAGATCTGAATTGAGCATGATGTCATTTTTCATATTTGTGTCTCAAGGATTTTTTTGAAATTTATCCTCCATTCATTTGTTTAGGGTACTGATCCAGGCACTGATGTGCGAGGAGTTGGTATGCTTGGCATTCTACAGTTCTTGCACTTAGTAGTGTCCCCTCCATTGGAACCACTTGCGAGGGATATCTACCGCATTGCCAGATCTGAGAGGCAAAACTTCCCATTAGCTGTCATGAGTATCAATCTCACAAAGATCGCTTTGGATTCCCTGCGCCGAGGCCAGCTAAACAGGTAAATATAGCTAATCTTTTGTATGAAAATAAAAGATCAACTTAGAGCTTCCTCCTTTTGAAAATTTTGTTGCTGTTTGATGACAAATTGTCTTCAATACACTAACATTTACATTCCATTACAGAGAATGCAATAGCCAGGGCAACGTAATTGACGTTCTTAATGAATTTTATGCAGCAGTTTTCTGTCACATATTTTTAATTTGGAGTCATCAACAGAAAACTATTGTTGATGCTGGATATATATTAAAAGGTATGTTAATCTGTTCACCCATCCATCTTCTAATCTCACACTTAGCAATTGGTTTATCGGAGGTCCACTAAAATAATATTTCCAGTTTGTATTGTGTGCAATCTATCTTCTATCTTTACTTTTCCCTCAACTGCAGATGCAGAACGCTTCTGTGGACATAATGTTAGCAAGGCTTTACGTAATCTCCATCTTCATTTAGCCTCATATGCAAACTGCAAGAGTAATGCTTTTGAACCAGCTGTAAAAAAAGCAAAGCGTTGCACAGATGAAGCAGGATCAGAACTTGCAAGAGGTTTTCACAATGTTGCATCATGAAAGTGATTAATTTTTAAAGAACTAAGGAATACTTACCAAAATATGTAACAGCTGTTTGTTATATACATGCACAAACAAGTCACCAAAATTAAATTTCTGTAAGTCGTCTTTATTTTCAACTCTAGTCCTTTAATTCATACATTGTTGTCAATTTTTGTGTAGCTATGAATGTGTATATTCTTAACTGTAGGCACCCTAGTCAAAAAGGGAATAGGTTGTTTGGATACCAACTTCTTAAGACTCACTGTAGGATATTTTGTTTTAGAAGGGTTTGGTACTTCCAGGAAATCAGTAACACTATATTTTTTAATCATCTGCTTTATATTCTAGTCACAATTTCAGCCAATTTATTGGAAGTTTTTTTTTATGTATTTTGAGAAAATGAATAGCTAATTTGTCTGTAACAGGACTAATGATATTTGCAACAAAATATTTCTGACAATATGCCCTCCAGTATAATTATTGTACTCAATCTAATTTTTTTTAATAGTTGAATTTTGCAACCAAATATGAAACAATTAATTTGAGTGCCATCACTATTTTAAGAGTCAGCTCTTAATGGGTGTAGAAGTTTGTTTGCTAATTTTCAAACTAATTGATTTTTTTATTAACTTTATTGCTGCCTTTGT